TTTTCGCAAACAAAATGGTCGGACACGTGATGGTGTAGTCGCCGAACGCCTTCCCAATTGTACGCCGGAGCACATCCTGCGATGTCTTATCGGACAGACCCGTGAAGTATAGTTTAGACACTTCCTGGCCATCGATGGCCGGTGTCTCGTCCAGCGCTGAGAACAGGGCCTGAGATGTGCCGTAAGCCTCCGGATATGTCATAGGAGGCGGGTTATTGTGGGCAAACTTCTTGGGGTCGACCACCAGCGCTAATATGAACGACCCCTCGTCCTCGCAGTTACCGATCATCAAGTTTAGGGATTTCTTGAAATTTCCTCATTTAAGCATTTTTAAAGGCTTTTCCGGGAGTAATTCCCCGTCGACTACGATATGAGACACTACTTTCACAAGATTTTCGGCGACGGAGTCCAGGGATCCCGAGGTGTAGTTCACTAACCTGTCGGCGCTTATAGTCTTTAAACAGTTTATGACATTTGGTGTGAATTTTTCAGGATTTCTATCGTCACGACAACCCATTTGTTTAGACTGTTTGAGCCAATACCGGGCCATTTGGGAGGCATCGCCTACTGTGTCGCCCAACGCCGACCCCGACATCATTATAGCGTTTTTGAATAGATTGCGAGTTATGGGCGATAGGATTATAGCGCTGGTAGTTATGCTACCGGCGCTCTCGCCAAATACGGTAATCAGTTTAGGATCGCCACCAAAATTCTGGATATTCTTGTGCACCCATTCCAGTGCCAACACCTGATCCCAGAGACCGGCATTTCCGGGCCCGGCATCAGTTCCCGTATATAGGAATCCAAAGCCATTTAATCTGTTATTTATTTTAAATATTGTTTTTTAATATAATATAAATGATTCTATTAATAGTGCAGTTCAGATAAATGTTTGCAATTATCTTATGATAAAAATTTTCATTTTAATATAATTATTTAATTAATTAGTAAAATAAAGGGAGGGTTGTTCAAATCTGTTAAAAATTATTAATAATATTAACCCATTTTAGTAATGTTTGATTCAATAATGAATTAATTCTTACCTATAATTTAATGTAACGACAATCACATCGCCTTTTGAGGCCAATACCTCTCCGTTATAATGATATTCATTGGACGACCCGATTATGAAAGCCCCTCCGTGTATGTAAAACATCACAGGCTTTAACCGATTTGATGATACCTTTCCTGCCGGTGACCATATGTTTAGATAAAGACAATCTTCGCTGAAATTTTTGTTTTGCATGAATGGGGCCCAGACTGGCAGTTGAGTGCAAGGGTTGGGCCACTTGTCGGCCACCAATGGTTGAGACCAACTGTCGGTGGGAACGGGTTTCC